ATCCGTGATGACTGCCTGAATTCAACCATATCTCAGTTTCTGGGGCTGTAAACTAATGGAAAAGGAGTAATTGATTATGAAGTTTCTTCTGTGTTTATGGATGAGTAATTGTTAACTGACTCTGCTAGCCCCTGTAGACTTGTTTGTTTTTTAATTTTTAATCCTCTTGCTTTAGAACATTAACAATTTAAAATATTTAATATTTGGATTGCTGACCATGTACCAACTGTGACCATCAGCAAAGAATTTATTTTTTTTTAGAAACTACAGTAACAGACAAAAATTTCCTTAAATTCTGTAAAGAAATTGTGCAAGCACATATAAAGTTATAATTGTCAGTGTGTGGCTGTGAGGCTGTGGCTCTGATGTTGTAGCAGTGACTGTAGCCACAGTCAGAGAAAGCTAAGGTATCAAGGGACAACAGACATAGTAGAAAAGGTTTATGGAAATCCTTTTTATAATTAAGTCAGCATTTGAAGTTTAAGATAATTCGCTGAAATTTTGCAGACCTCTACAGAAAGCTCTGTTGAAATACAGATAAAACTTCAGAAACTAGAATAGTACCGAGGACAAAACCAGTGGAATGACAATGTAATTCTAGAGCCCGTTCCAACTGAAGAAATTATTTGAAATATTTAAGCACTTAGCAAATTGGTAACTAGTTTACCCGAAGTGTAACTTTTTGAAAAATTCCTTTGTTGGTAAAATTATAACAAAAAAGTTGTACTTAAATACATTTGAAACAGAAATGTAGATTTGAGTCAGATCATTTGTATATCTGGTTATTGTACTAAGTTCCAATACTGACCAAGAGACAGTATGCATTCAAACATTAATGTTATCTTAATCGGGTTCTAAACTGACATCTGCAAAGATAGTCATGTTACTTTATTCAGACACTTGCTAGGATAATTTGTTCAGGCAATACATGGAAAACTGATAGACTATGAACAAACATCCCAATTATAAAATGTGCTAAATTGTTGGCTTGAACTATCTTATTTTAGGCTTTTTAATAAAAAAATATAACTGAAAAAGATAAACATATGTTTTAGATTTTAGTAAAAAATAGAATACAAATCAAACAGTATTTAAAAATAAAATCATGATGTTTTGAGAGTTAATTACACATTAGTACATCTTGCTGTTTAATTATACATTTCCTATTAGTAGTTTGATAAGGAAAATTCTTTGTGATTGTATTAATGAAAAAGTCAACCAAATTTGTATGCATAATGAATTATGTATTTTAATTTTTTTATTTTATGGAAAAAAGTAAAACAAAATTTTATAACAAAATAATAGAGACTAGACCATACTCATAAGTGAAATAAATCAGACTCATATGTGTAAACATCATATTTTCTCCCTTGTGTGAGAAATTCAAAGCGCAAATAAAGTCAGAAGTGTACAGCAGATATTGTGAAATGGGAAGAAACTATTCAAAAGGAAGAAGGAACTAAGATGATTATGTATTGAAACACTTGAACTATGAAAATACTAGGAAGGGTTATATCTCTGCCTTCATACTTATATCCCTACTTGTATTTTTTCTTATTGTCATCAGTTACAAGAAGATAATAAAAGTTATGTTAATTTCTATTTGAATCTAAAATGTTTCACTGAAAGTCTTATGTGTGGGGAAGGTGATCGGATCATGGAGCACCACCAATGAGTTCATAGCTGACTTCTGTAGGAAGATGAGGCCTGATTGAGGGTGGGCCACTGAGACTGTGATCTGGAACGGTATTTCTTTGTCTGTAGCTCCTCTCTTCTCTCTATGATTCCTCTTGCTATAGGTTAAGCACATTTTCCTCTGCCAGGCCTCCTTACCATCCTGTTTCTGCCCTGGAGCCACGCAAACATGAACTAAAACTGTGGGCCAAAGTGAGTTTCTCCTCCATTAAGACAAGGGTATAGGATATTTGGTCTCAGTGATGAGAAAGTAACTAATATACTGTGCAAAATATGTTTTAAGGATAATTGGATAGATTTAATATTTTGAACTCTTTTTTTTCCTCTTCTTCTTCTTCTTTTTTCCGGTACTGGGGATCTAACTCATGACCGCCTGCTTGTAAGGCAGGTGCTTATGCTGCTTAGCTAAATCCCCAGCCCCATATTTTGAACTCTTAATCTTCAGAAAAATTATAAGTAGGCTTGACTCAGGGTCACAGTTGAGCTTACTAAAGCAAGAATAGTCTATTGCCCAGTTTGTGTGGTGTCACCATTCCTTTTATTTTTTTTTTATCTCCTTGACTTCAGTGATCTTGATCCATCCTAAAAAGACCAACATGCTTTTTATACAATTTATTCTATGTTGCCAAAGTGCACTGTTTACAAAATTTAATGTTTTCTAAGGCACTTTGGACTATACCTGGAGAACAATGGATAAAGAATAGTTCATTGTGAAAATATCAAGGACCAAAATTTTCAAGTAGCCTGTGTAGAATTTCTCTTTAGAGATGTAGAAGCTAGTAACTGTAGAGGTGCTTAGATCAGAGGTCTTGTTTAATGTTTTTGTTTCAGCAACAACATTTGACCTGTGAGCTTTGTGCAACTTTAGGAATTACCATGTTGAGCTTACCCAGAAAGTTTCCACACAAACTTAAAATGCTGAAATCTATGACTTTATATGTGATACATATAATTCTATGAGAATATTTCCTATAGAGTAAAAATGTTTAGAGAAAAAGAGAGCCTGATAGCCTTACTGATTCTGAAACTGGAGATTTAATGGTAGTTTTTGCTACAATAATAAGAAAACATCTCTTCTGCTCTGTACAGGACAATTTTTGTGGTTAAAGGTCTTTGGTTTCTTTGGTATCTAACATAGTATTTTGTTTCTGATAGGAAATTAGTATCAACAAACTTTTATTAAATCATATATGTCAGGAAGTGCCATGGGTACATACTAGTTCCCATGTTTAATTCCTGTCCAATTTTTATAATTAAAACAACAATGATTTATATTGGTGTTTACTACAGAGTGATATAGTTAGTAATCAAAATTTTCCTTTCTGAATGCTTTTACTTTGTAACCTCATTTCCTCCAATATTTTCCAATACTGTCATCTGAAAGTGATGCAATTGAGGGAGGGAAGGTGGCAGGAATGTAGCTCAGTGGCAAAAGCACCTGGCTGGCAAGCACAAAGTCCTGCATTTGTTTCCAGGTAGCCTCTACCTCCCCCCAAAACCCCAAAGCAACAGTGGGGCTGAGAAGCTCATATATATCATGAAATTGTACTCCCCAGTCTTCACTCTGCTGATTCACACTCTGTGTGCTCCTGGAGAGCTTGACCATTTGATGTCCTTCCGCAGGAGATTATGGAGTCTGTGCTGGGGTGACAGTAGAGTGTACTGTGTAAAACTGTGTGCAAGCTCATTCCATAGAGACTATCTTTAACTTCAGCTGTGTTGCAAGTCATCTGTAATGCTACCCTCTCATTCAAATGGTACCACAACTTCTGTTTACTCTTATTGTTGTTCTTGCCAAGATGTTCCAGGCACTGCTCCTCAACACAGTGGGAGTGGCTACACTTGTTGGGGGCTCTGGGTGCCCTGGAACTCTGGGGTGCAGAGTTTTCCCAGTTTCCTAGAGTACAATGTCCCTAAACCTGACTACAGAGCAGGTACAGAATACTTTATTCCTCCTCCTTCTGTGTTATTCTTCTTGAGAGATACCAATGTGTTTTCATTTTGAAGTTCAGTGTTTTAAAGCAACTTTGTTGAAAGCAGATTTTTTTTTTTTTACTTTTTCTTATAACCTTTTCTCCCATATGAGTAATGTCTCTGTTATTTTATCATTTCTGGGATCCACAAGTTAAAGGAGGAATGGTTTGTTTTGGCTCATAGTTTGCAGAGGTTTCAGTCCATGTTTGGCTAGCACCAAGGCAAGACGGCATGACAGAAGAGAATTAATGGTATAGTAGGCAGGAAGCTGGGAGGCTTCCTTCTTTTTTCCATCCAGGTTAAAAATCTACTGTTTCATCACACTCAAATCCAGGGTAGGTCTTCTTTATTCAGTAAGTGCATAATCCACACCCAGAACTAAGCTAAACCAGTCAGTGAGTAGTCTAGTGTCACACAGCCATGTTCAGTCACTTGCTAAAGCCCCACATATGAACACAGGAGTTTTGGTGGAAAATTTAGAAAACAGCCTTAACAAGTAGTATGGGATTTCATGGAGTAAATCTGAGATTCTAGAGTTTCTCAGAAATATCCTAATACTTCATAAATATTTGTCATTATTTTAAGGTGATATACCTATCTTTCCTTAATATCTGTTCTCTCTAATAGAATTCTGAAACCCTTATGAAAATAAACTTGGGAGGTGTGTTTCACCAGTTCACCATGTACATGTGAATCCCAAGGCTGGGTGTGGCTTAGGCTCCAGCTGGAAGTCACTGTTCCCCTCCATCCTCCCCACGCTGCACATGGCTGTCTTAATTATTATTATTTTTTATTTTTGAGACAAAACACTATGCACCCACAGGGTAAGGGGAAAAAGGTTTATTTAGTTCACGGGGTACAGTGGTTTTAGTCCATAGCTGGCTGACTCTAAGGCAGGGTGGCACGGCACAGAGACATCGCAGTGGGAAAACAGTCCATAGAGCAGAAGGGGAGACAGAAGGCAGCGAGCAGCAAGTAATGGCAGCAGAAGCAAAGATAGCAGCAGAAGCAGAAGCTTTTTGTCCTTTTTTGTCCTGTTATATCCCATGCAATTTACAAACCTACTGCTTGGTGCCACTCATACTCAAAGTGGGATACTTTAATCCCAGAATCTGACCCTTAATTCCATTATCACATCTTTATTCTATACTTATACATCCTACTTACGTCATTTTTGCTTAGGGCCTCAGGAGGGTTTTCCAGGTCATCTAGATAAAAGCTGTAACAATGGTCTTCATGAGCCAGCCATAGGCTGAACAGGTGACTAATACATTTTGCAATTAAGACTAGTGAATAAGCAAATGTTTCTGTTCTTGGTAACTTTCACTTACCTGCTGTTAAGAGAGAGAAGTAGAGGCAAAAAGCATGGGTAGCTCTCTTTGCATTAAAATCAACCATGAAGAACCTATGAGAGAAATGGAAATTTCAGAAACTAAGGAAACAAAATCAAATGACTTCTGAGAGCTGCTACCAATGAGGAAAGAACCAATGAGAATGTGAGACTGATTGGGGCTTTGCAGGCTAAAGGAGTCCTACTAAGCTTGCCTTGCTTTTTCCCTGCATTTGTGTGATGGCAGTGCCACATTTTGTGGATGTTGTTGGACAGCCAGACAGTGACAATGTAGAATGCACTGGGTGTAGATTCAGACATAAACTCCGCAGGTGAAGATGCTAATTACTCCCTCTCAGGCAGTTACCCCCTCTTGCCCCTGAATAAAACCTCAAAAGCATATGAAGAATATGTTAGAGAGATTGGTACCTCCTTCACAATGCTCTCTTCAAAACATTTCAGAGTTGTCATTTATGCAGAGAAGTTGGCATAAGGAATATTGGCTTCAGGAGAAACCCACAATGGTTCTGTTCTGCAGTGGGATTGCTGCCCAGGAGTCATCCCTCCCTCCTCCACAGCCACCGGCCTGACTTGTAGCTCTTCCATGATTCACTTGGGGCATCCATGGAGACTTGTCACTCACAACTCTTCCAAAAGACCCCACTGAGTAGAACACAATTAACTGAGAGCCTCCAGAAGTTACCCTGAGAATACTAATGCCTCACTTACTGGAAGCAGCTCTCAGCCAGCAGCTGAGCACAGTGTGTTATAACTGGTCCAAATATGGTGTAACAAATCAGCACAAAACCTATTGGCTTACCAACATGCAAGTGTGTCCAGTGGGCTGTGTTGGTGAATTCAAGCTTCAGTTCGGGCTCAAGTCTGCTCCTGTGTCTCTAACTTTACCTTCTTGGTTTAGTAAGTGAGCGGGATGATATTATTCTCTGATGATCAGAAGAGATGAATGTGATGTCCCGGGAGGTCTCAGGTATAAATTTGCAAGCTGTCGCATTCACTTGCATGCCATTGCTCAAAATAAGCTGTGTGGTTAAACCCAGCGCCAGTAGTTTGAAGGAAGTATACACACCTCCACTGTGTGTATTGCAAAGTCGCATGTCAAAAGGCAAGAATGGAGGGAGGGTAAAGGGATAAAGACTAAAAAGAGTAGTGCAATCTGCTAGGCTGACGAATCACATTGAAAACTATTAACTGAACACTGTGATTTACACACACACAAATATTTCAGGCAGTAGTGTTACAAAAGTTGGAAAGAACCGTTGCTTTAGTTAGGAAGTCACTCAAGGCCAAGAATGAAGGTTTCACTTATTTTGATGCAAGAACTATACAAAGTACACCTTGTTTCTAAAAATGTGTTATTTTTTATTTGTGTGCTTTGGGGGATTACTACATGTTTCTTTTTTCTGACTCTGAACTGTGATGGACATGTGTTTTTTCATAAAGGTATCAGGTGCTGTTTACATTTAAAAAAAACTTCTAAATTCAACCTTGGAGTTAGAACTATAAAACATAGTAAGAGGCTGGAGAATTGACTAGGGTCAGGTTGTGAATTACATGTTTACCCGGCTAAGGAGGTTGACATCAACCTCTGAGGATCATCATAATGATGCTTTGAATGCATTGGACTTGTATATACCCGATCTATGTTTTAGAAATCTTACTCTAATGACAATTGAAAAAGACACAGGGAAAGAGGTAGCACTACGTGAATATAGAGCAAATATAATGATGTAACAAAGACAGTGATGAGTATGCTAAAAGAAATACTACAATAGGAGAACAGAGAGTGAAAAGATTATCCTTTTTGGGAGATTTGGGGAAGACCACTAAATATGTATGAAAAGTACTTTGATAAATTGAAAACAAGTGATGGGAAGGACAGACAAGGAGAAAGAAGATGGAAAGTTCATTTAGTTAACAAATATTTGTGGAGTGATACTACGTCGTGGATAGTCTGTTGGGAATGTAATTTAATCAAAATAAAAAATATTTCTTATCCTTGAGTTTATATCTAGTGAAATGTTAGTAACAAAAATAAATTTAAAATTCCCTCTGTGAGGCAGTCTGTGGATGAATGATATGAAGTTCTGAGAAGCTTTTCAACAAACCAGGCATTTTTCCTGATAGTTATGGAGATTAGGAAATTCTTTCATTAGGAACCAACATTTGAAGCAAGATTCTAAGGACTCTAAGGGGTTAATTAAGTGATAAAGTTAGTAAAGAGGGCACCTGGCGTACAAACTCGCAATTTGTTTCAGTGCTGCTATTTTCTCTGTCCTTATTCCGTTTGCCCAGATGAGGCAGAGAATTCCAGGCAGAAGAGGAAGTGTGTCTACAGTGGGGAACTGAGATAAGATGTGTTTTCTAAGCAAAAGCAGCAAGTAGGAGAAGTATAAAGCACTCTGATATAGCACTATGTAGTCTGCATTTTAAAAATGAATCATAAGATATTAAAGAATTTTCATTAAAAAGATCATATTATTACATAATTAGTTTTGATGATTTTCTCAGTCGGGCATAGGACATAGGTTTATTTAGTTCACGGGGTGGACCCCACTGGGGTCCCTGTGCCATGTTGAGCAAGTAGTGATGTTTGTTTGGAAAAGAATGTTGCTGCAGAATATGGTGGTTGTGGATGGCACTTAAAATTTTTGGCTGGTAAGATTTCTAAGATGCTTTGAACTGCATATTAGATGGGTCTGTTAAGGGGAGGAGAAGCATCAAGCATGACTTCTTTTCTCTGACTACAGAGCTGCAGTATGGGGTGGCTCACTTGATGGCTTTGTTTGTTTGTTTGGAACTGGGTAAATCAGCTCTGGAATGTTTGAAAATTGGATTATGGAAACAAAGCTAGGCTAAAGCTGGGCATGGTGACATATGTCTGCAATCCCAGCACTCAGGGAAGATTAAGTAGAAAGATTGCAAATTGGATCCCAGCTCAGGCAACTGAGATATAGTGAGACAAATGTCTCAACAAAACAAACAACAAACAACAAACACAATCCAGTGTTAAGGCTCTGATTACAATCCTTAGCACTTACAAATAAAATCATAAAATAAAATAGTAAAAGGCAGGCTGAGATGACTATGGCAGAGACCGTGCTTCTCCTCTGTGGGTTTTCCTCTTACTGCTACTAACTGGTAGCAGTCACAAAAATACGGAAGCAATTAAAAATAGGGGAAAAGTGATTCTTCTGTCAGGCAAATAAAATCTAAAGATAATAATCACTTCATTAAATTCAGGATTATCATTATATATATTTTATAATGTCTGGATAAGTATATATAGAATATATAGATTATATATAGAATTTTGTGACCTGGGAAACATAATAACTAGTAGGAGAACCATGTATCTGAATAATTTCAAGTAGTTTGATTCCAATATGAAGTATAGCTTTTTGCTGTCTAGAATTTGAGGAAATATGTAGTTCTAGAATAGATGGCCTCATACTTGACTCATTTTCCTCCCAAATCAAATTGTGTTCACTGCCAGAAACTATTTTTCCCTTTATAAGTCATAAGAAACTAGCGTTCATTTAATAACTGATTTATTCATTTATAGGTAAGCAGTATTTGCTTTTACTTTTTAAAATGAGACTAAGGATATTACAAGCTCCTTTTCATATGAAAATCAGATTAGGCAAAAGAACTTCCTTTCCTTAAAGTGTTAGGGCTGACGCCGCAGGGAAAGAGACCCCAAGGACTCAACTCTTGGTGAGGAAAAAAAAAGTTTATTTCCATGCGCATGGGGTCCCCCAGGCAAACGAGTGCGGAGGGCCCCGAGGGGAATTTGTGCAGGGTTTTTAAGGGCACAAGCGGGAAGCAAGCAGGTTTACAAAAGCAGATCGCATTGGTTAATTTTGAACGGCGCAGGACTTGGCAGATGCTGATTCGAGGGGTCTGGGGCTGAGTAACCATGGAGACTGAGGGTCCTGGTCTGATCTCAGAGTGCCAGGTACAACTCGGTCTCGTTTGAACAGCACATTCCTTTACTTATCTTTACCTTTACAGAGGACAGAACATCTTGTGGTTAATGACTAGCAGATGCATTCCTTCCTGTCCTGCTCCGATATCTCAAGGAGGAATTAGGGAGTGAAACATTTCTTATAGCTCTGTTCTATAGCTCGGGGGGGGGGTTACATTACAAACGGGGAGTCGATTCTCTCAAAAGGGCAGACTTTCTTTCTAGTAAAAAATTTAATTAAGTTTACAAATGCCGTGTCATGCAGTTAAACATTTGAAGCAAGCAAATTATAATAGAAGCTTCAAGTGAAAAACAGAATACTAAATGTGTTTCAAAGTGAGATTCAGGTATGAAAGAAGCTGCCCCACTAGAACCTATTGTTAATTTTCATTTTACTTTTGGTTCACTTGTAAAAGAGCTAATAAAGATACTCAAACTCATAAATTTAGTTTTGCCTTTATCCCACATTCTTGAGACAGCAGATTGTAATGAACTGTAAAACACACATGGAAGGTTAATTTAAAATTCTTGATTACATCCCCTGTAAGGACTTTACAATTCTCTCAGAAGCATAGGCTAGCCAGCTTTGCAGTGAATTTGGGTCACGCAGACAGTTATCCAATATGCTTTAGACAAGTGATTCTCACCAATGTCATTGCGACCCTCTTGGGATTGTTTTAGAAATTCATGGGTACATTTTGTGTTGTCACTGTGACTGAGGATTTTTACTGCTACTTGATGGGTAGGACTAAGATGTTAATGATGAGGATGCTCTTATAAGCCATATGATTCCCATATATACTTTACTTCACAACTCCTGGATAATCTATTGACCACTCTTGTAAGTAAGAACACCCTGTATAATTATTCGTGCCCAGAACCTAACTAATTCTATCAATAGATTTTTCAGAGCTGTAGTATACACTGAATATTATAGAAACACAATTACCATATATACAGGAGAAAAATTTTAGTTTTAGTTTTAATTTTATGAAGATGTGTTTTCCATGATGTTTGCTAAATCATGTAGTCAGTGGAAATGCTTGCTGCTTAGAGCAATGTTGTAGTAACTAGTACACTGCAACTCATTAGTCTATTTTACTGCTCTTGTTCCATTCATTATGACTCTGTGTATAGGTACAATAGTTCTTCCAGGATTGAAATATTGCAGAATAGTTCTTTCTGCAAATTTATATCTAAAATATTTGTTGTTTTATTATTCAATATTTAATATATACTTGTATACACTGAAGTAAACATGGGTATAGATAAACCAAATATCTATGACTGTTCATTATAAAATGCATGCTACAAAAGAAAAGTGTTAAGAGGATTATGGTAAGATGTTTTTAACAACATACAAGTGTACATTTGAATCAGGAACTTCATTTTATTTTACTTTATTTTTTAGTACCAGGAATCAAACTCATGTCCTCACGCTTGCTAGGTAGGAGCTTATGCTCTTGAGCTAAATCCCTAGCCGCTTGATTCAGGAATTTTAAAAGGCTGGGAAGAGATGTTTTAACTGCAGCTAGGGAATAGGTTATGGTCTGTGTGAATATATACTTGAGATTTGATATGAGCTTTTAGTCAAGATAGCATATTCAAGCAAAATATACTACTAATCATTTATATTATACCATACAGGTACATATGTATGGAAAGCTTTTAAAAGTGAGGTAATATTTAGCAAGTTTTACACAAATCCATAAGAAGACTAAAGTTAAGGCTCTCAAATTTTTATCATTAAGCACTAAATGTTAACTTTATTTGGACACTTTCTCTGGTTTATTTTTAAAGCAGTTGAAATAAAATCACTGTTAAAAAACTGATATTTGACATAATAAGAATATTGAAATGGTGATAGTTATGTTAAAAAGATATTATTGAGCATTTAGAGTATTTTAACTAATATAATTATTACACATACCTACAAAGACAATATAGGCCCTCTCATTTTAGTCAAATTATCCAAGAAAAGTCATGACTGTCTGACTGAGATG